AATTTGGGTTTGGTTTCAATAAGTAAATCGGAATGAACTTCAACAGACAAATGCTCCACCTCATTCGGAGCAACATCAGGAGAAACAAGCAGGCAAGGAAATTCATTTTCAACAAAAATGACATTTCTACTCATCAACACATTGAAGCAAGTTTCACTCCTACACCAAAGCCTATAACCTTTCATGCATTCATGATATCCTAAGAAAACATATTCCTTAGTCCTAGGTTCAGATTTATCATTCACACGATTCACATAAGCAACACAACCAAACACTCTCAAATTTGGCAAGTCAAGTGGTTTGCCCGTGAACACAGATTCAGGGCATTTCCCTCCTAAGGGAACAGACGGGGACATATTAACCAAATCAACAACATAACAAATAGCTTCCCCCAAGAACTTATTAGAGAGCCCAGATGAAGCTAACATAGCCCTCACCCTCTCTAATAAAGTTCTAACCATCCTCTCAGCAACCCCATCCGGTTAGGGTGTGGAGGGAACAGATTTATGCATAGAAATACCCCAAGTATCACATAAATCACCAAGCTGGTCATCACAGAAATCAAAACTGACAGTGGTCCTTAAAAAATTTATTTTCTTACCGGGTTGTTTTTCAACAAGGGTTTTCCAGTTTTTAAACTTATCAAAAACTTCAGATTTATTCTCAATCAACAAAACCCACACTTTCTTTGAAAAATCATCAATCAACGTCAGAAAATAATTTTTCCCACCATGAGTGGAAACACTATAAGGACCCCACAAGTCAGCATGAATACAATCAAGCACATCAGTACACTTAGGCAGATCAGGAAAACCAACTCTAGACTGTTTTCCTAGCACATAGGGTTGCACACAATTCACAGAATCAAGTAGGGGTTCAGCATGACAAACATACAAGTTGTTTTTCATCTCAGCTTTGAAAACAACTAAGCAACCCTTCACAACTTTCATGATTTCCTTTCCCCATTATCCCTTCAAACCCACATTTTCAAGAGAAGCACAAGATAGCAAATTACAGCATAGCTCAGGAACATGCCTAACATTCTTCAAAGTAAGCACATAACCAGAAGAAAACCTAAGGCACACATCTCCTATTCCTAGCACATTGCATTTCTTCTCATTTGCTAAAGACACAAAGCCATGCTCAATCTCTCTATAGTTTGAAAAAACATTTTTCAACGGGGACATATGAAAAGTACAACCAGAATCTACCACCCAATCTGATTTACCCAAAGAATCAGATATCACGGAACTCAAATAGTCATAATCACATAGATTTTTTTATCATAAAAACATCACCTAAATCATCTTCACACGTAGTCAAATTTGCATGCTCACTATGCTCATTTTTCTTAGATTTAGGACAGTCTCTTATGAAATGACCAGATTCATGACAATAATAGCAACGCCTCGAACTAGACCTAGACTTAGATCTATGTCGTCTACTATTATTTTCTCTACCCCTCACGTGCATAACTTCCTCAGATTTTCTACCCTCACCCATCTGTTTTAAATCTAATTCCTTACTCTTAAGACCATTTACCACAATGTCAAGAGTCACATTATCTCTACCATACTTATAGCAGATTTCACATCACCAAAGGAATCAGGAATAGCATTTAAAAGAGCAATATGGGAATAATCATCTATATGCTTATCACCACACAACTTAATATCCGAAATAAGTTTGGTAAAAACATCTAGATTTTCTTCAATATCTATAGACATATCTAGTCTAAATTTGAAGAACTTTTCAAGTAAAAATATCCGGTGAAGCAAAGAGGGTCTCAGTATACAGTTCATTCAATTTATCCCACAGAATTTTAGCACTCTCTAAAATTCCAACTTTTCTAATCACAGAGTCAGATAAGTTCAAATAAATCACAGAACATGCATTTTCATTCATTTCAGCCCTTTTCTCTTCTATGTCAGAAATTAAATAGGTTTCACCAACTGCTTTAAAACATTTTTGTTGTATTAAAATACATTTAATTTTTGCTTCCAAATGCTAAAATCAGATTTTCCATTAAATGGAGCCATACCATACTGATTATAAGCAGACATTTTCACAGAGAAAAATAAGCAACAAAAGAAAATGTAAATATCGTTGAAAACAATTTAAATATTTATAAGGCTAGCTACAACTATACGGAGCAACTAGCACGAACACGCGGGGAGTATTAATGAGCACCAAACTCAACTTCAAACCTCTTGTTCTTCCGTATAAGCACAAATAAATAATACATTTTCAGCACAAACACAATACAACAATTCAAACAATTTTAAAAGCAGTAATAAACCTAAAACAGATTTCTACACAATAAAAGATTAAATTACTACAAAAGCGATAAAAGGGATAACAGTCAATATACCGGAGCGAAACCCTAGGAGAGGCGTTTCGACCTTACCCACCCAATTTTAAAAATTGGGATTTTTTTTTACTGTTGACTGACTTTGACCAGCGTTGACCGAGCTTTGACCAAGTTGACCCAGCAGTTGACCGAGTCTTACCACTGCTCCAGGTCCAGCTCCAAGTCCAAGCCTAAAATCAGTCCGGCCCAAATTGTTGAAGCCCCAGCAGACCAGCGTTCCTTCTACTGCCCTGCTCCAGCCAGCATCCCTGCTCCAGCGTACAAGCTCAGAAGCCCAATGGCCTGGAACAGCCCAAGTCCAACCTCTAAGCTTCAGCGAACAGGTCCAGCCTCTGAGCTTCCAGATTTGACCGGCTCCATACTCTTGCGTTCCAGCACTTTCTCCAGCAGCCGCAGTGTCCAGGTCCAAGATTCGAGCTTCTTCAGTCGTCCAAGTGCATCGGTTGAACCGTAGCAGCGTTCAAGATTTCAACCGGCCCCAAATCCAGCTATTTACGCAGAGGTGTCCAGGTTTAGCTCTGTGGTCTGTCTTCTGCTTCGTCCCAGTCCTCTGCGTCGTATGAGCAACAATGTTCAACGGGTCCAGCTAGAAGAGACTTCCGGCGACGAGTTTCAGGCGGACGACGGCTGGCGTTCGATGGTAGCGTGCAGAAAGCTATCTCCGGCGACCACGGCTCCAGCTGAGGACGAATCTCCGGCGAGCAACTCCCCTGCGGCGAGCGGCGAGCTCCAGCGACGAGTTCCGGCAACTCCCAGGTGACGAAGGTTTATGCTTCAGGTTCTGGCTGGCTCGATTTCTACAACCAGGGACCAAGGTGAAGGATGAAGAGCTCGTGCGAACGACCAGTCACCTTCAGGGACCTCCGGCGAGCTCCAAGCGACAGCGACGGCGGACGGCGACGGCGGACGGCGGTGGCGAACGGAAACCAGGCTCTGATGCTTGAGGATCGATTCGTCTTCCGGCTCAGGTCTCCAACCCTTTAACTAGACTCACACACACCACACTAGGATAGGCCACTCCATCTCACCATGTTTTCCTCTCACTCACACTCCACAAAGGAACTCTCACACTAAGGAAAGAAGGAGGAGATACACTCTGCTCAAGGTTTTTGTGCAGGCCGGTTCACAAAGGAGGAGCACAATATTATAATAGGCAGACTGCCTATTATTGCTCACGAGTATTATTGACAAACAAGGGGGCTCCAGACAGGTTGTTCAAAGGTAAGATAGCAAAGGGCCAAACAACACAGCTCAATAATAATGGGCAGCGGACAAGACAAACAGAGGCAAGGTAATTGGACTGGAGTATAGCAAGTAGGACTAAACATAGGGTGCAAGCCCAAAATAAAGTGGAAGGGAAGCCTTGGTAGGACCAATACCTCCAACAATAAGGTATACATGTTCCTATTAGAATATGATCATTAGGGATAAGTACAATGGGGGAGAGTGGGGGTATATATAGCTACATACATGGGTCTGATCAAGTACTCATGGGCTAGGGTTAGGAGGAGAAGTGTATATTATACATTTCATAACACTCCCCCTTAAATATACACTACTAAAAAAATACATAAGGAGTATATAAAAATACGCTTAAGAGATGCTGCCTCATTAAAAACCTTGCCAAGGAAAACCCTGTGGGACAAAACCTTGGTAAGGAAAAAAGAGTGCAGCGAAAAGTCCGATCGATGTGGTTTGAGGGAAGAACGGTCGATCGATGATGGTGCAACAAGTGAAGAGGAAGGCGATCGAGTGAAATCCCCCTTGTCGAACGGAAATCGAATTGATGGGCCCTGTGAAGTAATCGATGGAAATCGATCGAGTGAAGGAGGTTATCGTTATTTTGCGATCCTACTTTTGTGGGGAGGAGCAGTCGTGCTGATAATGTATTAGAATATGATCATTAGGACTAAGTACAATGGGGGAGAGTGGGGGTATATATAGCTACATACATGGGCCTGATCAAGTACTCATTGGTAAATAGGAGAAGAAAAATCTTTGTTTGGAGAAAAACATATTACTCCATATTACTCTATTTTACTTCTATCAAAGACTATTTCAAAACATAAAAATTATATTTATCTTGGGTGATTGATAGGTTAAGAACATTTCTTTCTCTTTATTGAAGAAAAACAATTTTGAATTGCGTGTTGGATTAAAATGTTAGATTTTGCAATTAGAAGGTGATATGGTGATTGGTGAACCGTAATTTGCACGTAGTACTTCAATTCAGTCCAGTAAAGTATTAGATTGATTTATTCCATTGATTACAAAACTACAACTCTACAAGAACACAATAAAAGGAAAAAGATAATCAATTCGGCTAAATCCTCACGGACCATTAATTATTAAATTAGATCGATTGCGGGTTCTAAATATATGCAACATTCACTTTCTGTCGTTGTTCGATATATGATAGAACGGATAACAACAATAGAACAAGTAGGCATAATTTTGTCCTAAAGGCAAGCAACCAATAGATTTTCCCATCAAAGATCACCTTTGTTTGGAAAAGTGGTACGGATATTTCATGGAACCCGCAATAATCAACACACCCACTTGCTGAATTAATGAACTAGTCCTTAATCCTGATTAATCATTGTAAATTACTAAATTTACAAAAGGCTAGCTTAGATTAGAATGTCCTAATTGAGATTGATATAGCTGAAATGTTGGAAAAACATAACCTTCAAAGAAATGGAAGAAGGATTTGCACGATTAATCGTGTGCAACTGATCATTAATTAACAAAAAATATAATTAAGATCAAGTAAGTAGCTAGAGTGAGCAGGATATAAACTGGACAAAAGACAAATGATGGATTAAGAAAATTATCAACTGCGGCTAAGCTGTTCATCTTCACCGACTTTGATGATCACCTGGGAACAGGGAGGCTTCAATGGAACCCACTTGTACCGCCCTTCCAGAGGTACGTCCTTCTCTACATCGTAGTTGTACCTGCAACAACCATATAGCACCGATCAAGTACTTACCAGTTACCACGTAGCATTGATCCCATAAATTAAACATACGACTTACTTTTCCATGAACAATTTTTGCTGGTACTTTTCAGCAGCGGAGAAGAACTCTTCAATCTCTGCCGCAGACGGTGTATTATCTTTGCCGCCTGCCGATGATGCTTTCTCCGCCTTTGATATCTTCTTCGAGCAATCCACCTCTGTTCCTGAGTCTCCTTGGCTAAGTCCAGTTATTGCCGTCGTCTCCCCGCTGCAAAACAGATTAAAACCATACGCCTTCAATTCCTCTGGAATCTCCATTGCTTGCAGATTGTTTGTTCAACACGATACAACCAGAAACTCATTTCCAGAACTTAATCGAGAAATTCTGATCAAGCAATGCAATGCAATGTACCTGAATTTGCCGGTGCTGTTTGCTGTATCGGCCGTCTCAAAACCTTTCTCCTGAAAATTCAAAAATCAAATTCCAGACAAGCAATAAATCTGAGCAATTTAGCATCAGAAGTTTCAGAACTTAGAGGCAAATAATCTGAAACAGAAATAAATTCACACGGAAGGCTGTGGCTGAGCCGCTGAATCCTCACTCACCTTCAGATCCAAAGCTTTTTCCTCCGCGTAGCTAGAGCCCTCGCACTCTGAAGCCGGCAATGAAGACGCCGGAGAAACAGAGCACTCCGACAAACAATAGACCTCGCAATGATCGGACGGAGAAACAACCTTTCTCCGCTTACTAGAGCTGATGATCGTCACCTCTCCATCTTTCCCCCGGAACGCAGCAGCTCCAGCCTCCACCATCGCAGCCATTGGCGTCGTCTCCGCCATCACAACCCGTTCGCATCTCAAGTACGCTTCCATCTCCCTCTCTCTCTATATCTCTCTAACAGAACTGTGGAAAGTAAAAACGAACAGTACGCATATATGCGTGTATTTATATATATATAGCTTGGGATTGGAAAGCGAGTGATTCTTGGCACTCACTCACACCGAAGAGTGAGAAATTAGTTGGAGAAGAAAAGTGAAACGGGGTAAAACGGTAATTAGAGCGAAGTTGTAGGGGTAAAATGGGGGATTCGTGGGTGAAGAGATGAGATCGGACGGTGGAGATTGAAAGAGACGGTTAGAAAGTGGACGAACGGAAATGAAGAGAAGAAGTGGTCCTGAGGCTCCGTTTGCAGTGGCAGTAGACATGGGAATACCGTTGAGAGGGGATATATATATACAGACATGTGCAGTGTGCATGGCAGATTCATGAGAATGATTACATATTTTGTAGCCAATCACCGAATGCAGCGTGGACTGGGTAAACAGAGACCTGGTAAAAAAAAAGGAAAAATTGATAGTAATAATCCCAACTATTGGCGGTCCGCTCATAATAATCTCAACTATTGATTATTACAGAATAATCCCAACTTTAGGGACCTTCCGCCAATAATGGTCCCTGTGAATAAATTCTTGTAGTTTCTAAAGTGGATGAGATGAGATCTAACAAGTAATCCCTATAAATAATCTCAACTTTTAATTTTTACGCTTAATTTCTATTTAAAATTCACTTTTTATAGAGGTAATATATGGTCATGGACCAATATTGGCGGATAGTCTATATAGTTGGGATTATACAAAAATAATCAATAGTTGGGATTATTTTCAGCGGACCAGCAATAGTTGGGATTATTATTTTCAATTTTTCTTAAAAAAAATTACTCCCTCCGACTCTGTCCCTAATTTATCTTCCAAATAGGATTGACACACAGTTTAAGATAGTGGGCATTGTGTGGTGGAGAGTTGTGCAGAGGAGAGAGAAATATGTAAGAATTGTTGTGAACCACAAATTCTTTGCCAAAAAAGGAAAGTGTAAGTTTTAATTGGGACGAACGAAAAAGGAAAGTTGGAAGTTTATTTAGGGACGGAGGGGGTACTATAAATATCCACATTCTTTTTTTAGTAAACATAATAAATAAAGGGAAAATGGAAACTAATAATCCACCTTTTCGTTATTCATGAATAATCCAACTTTTGCACCTCATCTTCATTCACTGGTCCCCGACCGGTTGATGACCTGTTATTCCAAGTTATTTTCTTATCTTTGCAAAATATTATCTTTGTGAAAGGTGGAATTTAAGGTATAATAGATTGCAGAGATAAGAAAATAACTCGGAATAGCAGGTCATCAACCGGTCGGGGACCAATGAATGAAGATGAGGTGCAAAGGTTGGATTATTCATGAATAACAAAAAGGTCGGACTATTAAAAGAAGACCGCTAAAAGGTTGGATTATTAATTTCCATTTTCCCATAAATAAATGAAGATTTTAAATTAATAAAAATCATATACTCCGTACGTAGTGTAGTACTACCGCATGTTATGTTTAAATTTCAAATCCCAATTATATTTGGATAACGGTACTCGTATGCGTACACGCTTGTTTATACGTCGAGTGTATTTTGTATGTGTACAGACAATTGATATCGTTTTGGTACAAAAATTGTTTGTAATCCTGAATTGTGTGTACATAAACAAAATATATTCAACGTATAAACGTTCCTGTAAGCAAGCATGTACAAATATCATTGTGGAATGTAAATGTAATTTCTGTTACTTTTTGTCTAACCGAAATGAGAAGAGCCATTTTACATGGAATGTGGGTGACGGGATCGGGTCAAAAAGGACACAGATTGTTCTTTTCATTTACTCCGGACATTCATGCTGATCAAATGATTGTGTAGTACGTAGTACAATTTAGAGAATATAGTGAAGTTTAAAGTATAAAGCTTCATTGTTTACGTACTACGAGTATGTTATAACAATATACTTCTAGTGAATGATCACCCCAAGCTATGTTCGCGGTTGGTATTGGAAGTGTGTTAAGTTGCATTGAGTCTGCACCACAATTGATGTATTGAGTATATGGCGATGTCGGTAATGAATTGTGGAATAATAATTATTCACTAATGCTACTTGTACACGACATTTTACACGTCGGTTAATGGTCCGTGTACAGACAATTTGACCGGCGTGTAAAATGTCGTGTACAAATGCAGTGTACACGAAACATTACTCATAATTGTTTATCAATGATAAATGTAGCTATCAAGATTTTAGGAGAATATATAATGATCACTGGTGATCAACAATTACATTTTTATGCGTTCATTAATATTTGGAAATAACAATATACTATGGGTGTATTCCTCCACGCCAATATAAGGGTGCACCGTGCATGTGTCAATATCCTCATATCCAGAGCAAGCGATTTGAGATTCTAGGTTTGCTTAGCTCTCGAATAGGACTACTTTTCCTAGTATATATGGACCTAGTTCATCTCATTCTAGAGAATTTGAAACTAAAAACGGTCTAACGCTCCGATTTTTTAACTATCAATTCTAGATATGCCTACTTTATAGTAAGTTTTTGTGTGCCTACACGAGCTGTTTGTGTACAAAGACAATTAGGAGTGTGTACATTGTTAGTGTGCACAGAGATTACGTTGAAATGTGTTCAAATTTTGTGTAGAAATAAATTTTTTCATTCATAAATATGAAACAGAATTGAAGCAAGCAAATGTCATCTACGTGCTTGCCAATTCAATGCATTACGACCTGCAATCCTCCAAATCCAGCTCCATCATATACGTTCATTTGTGTGCATGACAACTACGGAGTACTTCACAAAAATTATCCCTGCTTCATTTCAGACTACTTTACCAAAATTATCCTTTATTATTTATTAAAAAGTACTCCGTATCTAATCACGCATTAGAAATATGCCCTTGACGAAATTTACACTCTTTTTAAATGAGTGATTCACTATATCTTCCTTTTTTACCAAACGAGAATATTTCAACATCCCAGTTTGTTAAGTTTAGCCGCCACAACAAATTTACTTCTAGACTAACTAAAAATCCGAATATTAACCTTCAGCTTGTTGTTGTTGTGGAGCATAGCCTGCATCTCCTTTTTCTCTTTGAACAAATCTCAATTTTCCTCTTGCATGTAGTACAATGAGAGGACATATATGCCCCTAAACAGGGGCGGAGCCAGAAAAATGACTCAGCGGGGCCGAAATCAAATTTACATAGAATAAAAACGGTAGATTATTTTTAGACAATACCCGAATTGAATGTAGCTTAGATAAATGCTAGTTTAAATGAAACTAATAGAATATATGTAGTTAATATACTTCGTATATGTCACATATATTATAAACTTGTTTTATACGGGTTGAGTTGAGTATCTCGAATGAGACCCATTTTCTTACCATAGTACTCTATGATTCTCTTCGATCTTACTCGGTTTAGTATCAAGATTTCTTACTAAAAAAGAATCATTTATTCAGTAGGCACTTGTAGCAGTAAGATATGTTGTCTTTGCTATGTCCCTAAGTCATGTCACGTAAGTAACGAGTGAATTACACACTATTTTGTGAATATAATTAATATTACGCATCACAATTTTACTAATTTCAAACTTAAATAGTGTTGATTTTGCAGAAGTCATAACTTTTTACTCGTAATGAGTTACGAGAGCCATAATATATCAAATCGAAAATATTTCAGAACTCTACACTTTTAAATTTTCAGCGGGGTCGGCTGACCACCCTGACCCCCAGTAGCTCCGCCCCTGCCCCTAAACTATGTAAATTGTAAAATTACATATAAATAGTCGTAAGTCCAAATAGATGAGTGGTATCCCCTCAACTTTTTGAAACAATTAAATATTGTAAAATTATAACAAATGTAGTCGGAAGTCGAAATAGATGAGTGGTAATGTGGTACATATATTCTCAAATATGTACTTGTTTAAGGATATATTTGTTCCAACATTACAATTCGTATGTTTAAATCGTTGAAAATACTGGAGGATATACCCCGTTTTGGACCCATTTGTACCCATATTTGTGTGGTTCACAAAAGACAATTCTTTATAAATGGGGCAATTAATTTATGAAGGCCTTTTGTGAACTACACAAAGCCACAAAGGGTGAGGACAAATGGGGTACCCCAAAATGGGGTATACCAAGAATAACTCTTAATTGTTTAAAGTGATATATATGCTCTCTAACTATACAGGTGGAAGTTCCACCTGTAATGGTCTGTAATGGTAACTGTAAGTTTCACCATGGATTCACTTCTCAGTATAAGCATATGTACTTCATATACCTCCCTGTGTTGTTTAAGGGCATTGCGTTTTAATTATGCTTTCTAGACAAACGACTAAAACAATCATCACCTTTGATACAAGGGTAAAGTACGCCTCAAATCCTCAATGACTATTTCATCCTAATCGCGCATTGGTTATAGAAATATAAGAAGTAAATAACGCAATGGGTGTGGGGTAAAATAAATTTCCTTCCAACTGTGTGATGAGACAATCAGAAAAAGAAAAGATTGCTCCTCTCAAAGTGCTCTTTTGATATGAAAGAAGTTGGGATATTCCTTGTTGGCAGCATCAACATCCACTGGTGATGCCACTGCAACCACAACCCCTTTATCTTTAACTGTTTGTATAGCATCTGCAAATTCCTTGAAATCGGACAACCTGAACACGTGGGAACAAAAAACAAGCAATACAGTGATTCATGGTTTCCTTGGAATTCAAAAGACAATTTTATCCACTACAAAGATGTGGATGCCATTTATGGCGCAATTTTGCAGGTAACAATGACTACACTTGACTAATCATTAAATCTCACAGTACTTCACATGTCAGACGCCCACAAATAAATAAGTGAATAAATAATAAAACTAACCAATAAAGAACTAAATAGCAATGGAAGTGTGTGTAAGTTTACCTTGTGGATAATATTTCTTCACGTCTCATTTCTCTTTCTTCTGGAGTAACACCCAATAAGTATCGAAGTAAACTGAAAGCAATGGAAACCATTAGAGTATGGGGGAATAGAAAGAGCACACAGTTGACTACTTCCTAAAAGAGGAATCTCACCATAACCACATTTATCTTAGCTAATGAACTCCACCAACCCAGCTTATTAAGCTTTTAAACTAATATCGCAAAGTAAAATAATTACATTGAAAAATAAAAGAAATCCATACAATACGGTTTGAATCTTATCAATGAATACTATCTAGCTAAATGAGCTTTACACAAGCTACTTTTCACCTTTGATGTTTACAGAAATCTGTTAGGAATAATTTTATTGTGTACAATTGCACTG